TTGGTCCACGCTTCCGAGGACTCACCAATGAACTTTAAGGGGCCGGTGGCCGCGGCACAGAGTGATTATTGAGCTCTGGGCAGCACCTGTGGTGAGCACACAGCGCCCTGCGGTCGCTGAGCTTTCCCCTACTCTGCTGAGATCCTAAGACCCTACTTCTCTACGGAAGTCCCTTGACCCTGAATCTCTGGGACCTAAATCATGTCTCTCCCTCAGACCACATCAGGGTCACTAGGTTTTAGAGTCATAGTGGACGAATCTCAGTTACTGAATCTCCTGGGCTTTCAGCTCCTGAGCCCCGGGATTAATTCCACAGTAATTTGGTTATAGTTCCCTTTCTGACACTGGGTCACTTCAGTCCTTGGCCGCCGGGGTTTTTGAAGTGTCCTCACCAGTCAGCTCTTAGGAGTCCTTTGGTGGCAGAACCCCATGGTCTTTGGGTCGTTGGGCAGTAGAGGGCAGCATGGAGCTATGGAGTTTGAGGCTAAACATTCCCATCACGAGAGGCCCCGACGCTGTCTTAGAAAACTTCTGCCCAGGGAGACCAAGGGGCCGCAGTAACCACACTGGGCGACTGGCATGAAGTGGATTCCGGTTTTGCTGTCTTCCTGAAAGTTGTCAGCTCATACTTCAAGGGACAAAAACGTTGCCACCATTGACATATCCAGGGAAAATTCTTATCTTGTCCTATGCTGGGCATCATGGAGTAACTGGCTCTGAGCTATATTATGCAAGACTGATGAAGCTTGCATTACAACACTAGTAAAGTAGTGGTTAAAGTTTGGGATTAATTAAATCATCCAGAATTTTGCTCCAGAAAATCCAGAAGAATGCCTTTGTAATGACAACATGTTAATTTAGGTGATACAGCAATTAGTAAGCTGTTGAAGTTTTGTCTTTTCACAGTGTTGGGGATAAAACCCAGGGCCTCAGGGATGCTAGGCAAACACCCTACAATTGAACTATGATCCTCTGCCCCATTTGGAGTTTTCATGGTTAATGTTTGTTTGTTTTCAGTACTGGGGATTGAACCCAAGAACTTCACTCTGAGCTACATTCCAATCTGTGTGTGTGTGTGTGTGTGTGTGTGTGTGTGGTACCGGGGATTGAACTCAGGACCTTGCACTTGCCAGGGAAGCGTTTATTCTACAGAGCTATCTCCCTGGCTGAAACTGGGCACTTTGGAAGCCCACCCCCGTTTTTGTTTTTGTTGTTGTTTTTTGCTTTGAGACAGGGTATTGCTAAATTGTTAATTTACCCAGATGTACTCCAAGCTGTGATCCATCTGCTCCAGCTTCCCAGGAGTTCTGGGATTACATGGATGCACTAATATGCCTACTTTTGCTTTTTATTTTCTGATGCAAGGTCTTGCTATTTTGCTCATATTTGCCTTGAATTTTTGGGTTCAACCAATCCTCTTGCCTAAGCCTCCTGAGTAGTGGACACTATAGCTGCACACCACCCTTCCCAGCTCATTTCACCTTTAAAGCTTCCCACAGGCCTGGCCACACATGCCTGTAATCCTAGCGCTCAGGAGGCTGAGATGAGAGAATTGCTGTGAGTTTGAGGCCATCCTGGGTTACATAGTGAGTTTAAAGGTAGCCTGAACATAGTGAGACTCTGCCTCAAAAAAAAAAAAAAAAAAAAGTTTCTTCATGCCATGTTTCCCTTGCAGTACTCTATTGTCCCTAAATGAATATACTGTTTGGAAAAATATGATTTTCATTGCGGTTGACAGTCAAGATCCCAAAACCAGAGTGGAGGAAGCCTCTGGCTCTCACCTTACTCTTGTGAAGCCTCCTCCTCCTCACAGCTTTTCTCCTCCCTTCCTCTGTAGACCACATTCCCTGCCTCACCCTATGGGCAGATGCTCTTGACCGACTGTGATCTCTCTCCAGTAGCCTTCACCTTCACCTTCACCTGGCTTCTCCAGTAGCCACATCATAGTTTGCTTTAGAACCAGAGTCTCAAGAGGGTCTGATCAGCTCATCTTAGGTCTAAGGGCTGCTCAAGATGCAACCAGCTGTGGAGGGAAGGAAGAGGGGGTAGCTAATCAAGTATGGCCACAAACAATTCCTCCTAGCTCAGGAGTGGGATAGAGCCCAGTGGTAGAGTGCTTGCCTTGCATGTGTGAGTCCTGTTTTTAATGTCCAGCATTATCAAAGGAAAAACAACTCCTCTCACTCTTGTAATCAAAGAAGACTAAGTCCCTTTTCCCCTCCCCTGTGACTTGTTTTGACTAACTGAATGCTAAAAATGTACTGTTAGGAGACTTCTGGGCACCAGCTATAAGAACTAGGAAGCCAGTCATGGCATAGTCTTGCAATAAAGAAGTGCAGGTGAGATTACTGCATGGTGAGAGGCTGTGTGCACAGAACCTGGAGGGCAACAGCAAGTTAGGATCAACTCCACTTCAGCCCATTCCCAGCTGAAAGCACTCACGTAGGCAGCTTTGGCCTACACTACTACTCAGCTAAGCTAATCTCTTTTCTTTTCGGTGGAACTGGGGATTGAACTCAGGTCCTTGCGCTTGCCAGGGAAGCACTTATTCCACTGAGACATCTCCCCGGCCCCTGATCTCTTTTCTCTCTCTCTCTCTCTCTCTCTCTCTCTCTCTCTCTCTCTCTCTCTCTCTCTTGCAGAACCAGGGATTGAATTCAGGCCCTTGCGCTTGCCAGGTAAGCGCTTAGTCTGCTAAGCTATCTCCTTGGCTCCCTGTGATTTTTTTCATTTTTGGTGTTTTTTTTGTTTTGTTTTGTTTTGTTTTTTAATTTATTTATTTTGTATGTGTGTGGCCAGTTCAGCCCACCAGGGGGCGGGGCTGGCTGGCATGTGGTGCTGGGGATTGAACCGTGGTCCCTGTGCTTTTGCTTAGCTTAGCTTGTTCTAAGTAGGTGCTTTAGACCACTGAGCCATCTCACCAGCCCTCATTTTTGGTTTTAAGTCTTGGAGTGTTTTATACACAGCAAGAGATAGCTGAAATAAGGTCTGGAGATGCATGTCTTTAGTACAAGTTGTCCCTGTCTCCACAGGGGCTGATGTCCCACTCATATCTAAGTCACTCACAGGATATGAGTGACTCAAGGCATGGATGGGGCCACGTTCTCTTCTTCCTTGATATGTAGCACCTGGGAAGCTAGTGGAAATCACAACAGCTCTCTCTCTCTCTTAGCCCTGGAGGGCTTCTTTCTTGGCTCTTTTTTATTACAGAATTTCTTGCACCATCCATATTTGTCTTCAGCAGTAGTGCGAATAACTAGAATCTCTGTATTCATCCCAGTTGCAGGCTTCTAGGAAAGCACCAATCAGTCTAGCTTGGGAAAGTGGTGTGCCAATCAGGTCTAGCACATGGGGGCAGCGGGGAAGGCACTCAGATACCACCAGCATTGTGGAGGTGGTGGTAGGTGGACTTAGGGAATAGCATTTCAAGTCAAGCACATGCTCTAAAAGATCTCTGCCATGCTGGGCATGGTGGCACATGCCTGTAATCCTAGCATTCAGGAGGCTAAGGCATGTAAATCACCATGAGTTTGAGGCCAGCTTGGGGCTATGTTAACAGATTGAAGGCCAGCACAGGCCTCACCCCTGGGCACACTGAGCTGGCCACCGAGTCTGAGTGTAGTGGCACACACCTGTAATCCCAGCATAGGGAAGGCTGAAAACAGGAGTATCACTATGAGTCCAACCTGCACAGTGAGACCCTGTTCCCAATACATTAAAAAAAAAAAAAAAAAGTTGAAGGCCAGCATGAACTACATAGTGAGACCTTGTCTCAAAAAACAAAAAGATCTCTGCCCTAAGAGCTCTGTGGAAAAATGTCTTCCTGACCCACCCACCTTAGAATCCTGGTCCTACTGAATGAAAGCTGAACAAGTGTGGGTCCGACAGGTGTCCAAGGACCCACCCTACCTGGCTCCAGGGGGCCTTATAATGGCTGTGTCTTACACTTGGGTCGTTGGGCTCCAGTATGGTCAATCTTGGCCAAGTTGGTCTGGCCTTTGTACCAGATGGGCTCCAGGAAGAGGTGAGAGAGACAGAGCCACTAAGCTCCCCAGAATGGCAGAATCTTCTCATGTTCTCTTGTCTGCTGCTGAGGCCTGGCTATAGGGGCAGCTAGGAGAGAAGATAAGCTGTGTCTTGGGAGAAGACTTGCACCAATACAGGAACAAATAGGATGTTACACTAGCAGACCTTTCTAGAGAGGATCACCCTGGCCAGAGCTCTTGCTGGAAAGTTAGTTTCACTGCGAGCCCTGCACAGCTATTTCACAGCCTGACCCACTGGTAGCTGCTGTGTGGCCTGGAATGAGAACTCCAGATTTTTGAGTTGGAGTTGAGAAGAACAAATTAAGGAAAAAAAATTAACTGAGAGTATCAGGAAAGGGTGGCTGCATACTTACTCAGTTGGAATATGAGACAGTGACATGGAAAAACAAGAAAGTCACGTGTGGTGGCACATACCTGTAATGCTAGTGCTTCTAGAGGCTGAGGCAGGAGGATGGCATTACTCAGCCTAAGTAACTTAGCAACTTAATGAGACTGTCTCAAAATAAAAAAAAAAAAAAAAGTGGGGGACTGGGGATATAGCTCAGTACAAAAGTCCTGGGTTCAAGTCCCAGTACAAAAAAATACACCACAGGTAGAAGAAGTCCCCTCTAAAAGCAGGAGCCACACAAAGGCCACAAAAGAGAGGAGCCCTCAGGGGCTTGAAAAGAGGGAAAAGTTACAGGTTAGAGAAAAGAAAGAAGCAAGGCAGAAGATAGCAAGGCAGTGGATCATGCAAGAGGAAAACTGTCACCCCTGGAGGGGACCTGGGGTCAGAATGCTGCCAGCTGTCATGAATGCTGGCTGCCATCAGGGCTGGCCCACACTGAAGGGCCACTCAAGGGCAAATGTTCAGGTACAAGGAGAGGCAGGCTGCAATCTCAGGACGAGAAGACCGCGTTCCACTTGTAGATGTTTTATTTCTGTCTCTCTTGGTGGCTCTCCTGTGATTGTTAGCAGAGGTCCTCATAGACATTCAGCCTATCCTGACCCTGCTCAGGGAAGTGGCTGGCTAAGACCAGGTGGAGAAGCAGGGAATGGAGCACTCAGTGTGACTTACAGGGATGTCATGGGGGATCACCGTGGCCTGTATCCACAGAGTACCTGCTCATGGCCTCCTGTCCAGGGTCCAGGTGGTCCTGGTAATTGCTCTTATCCTTGTAGGAATCCACATCTTCACCTTTGTCCTCCTTGTTACCCTTGCCCTCAGCCTCAGCATTGTCCTCAGTGTTCACCATCTCATAATTCTCAGGGAGACTGGAGCCCATGCCCGGGTCAGAGGACATGAAAGGCCTGGGCTGTGACAGGCTTTTAGAGGCCTGTTTCTCAGCTGTAATTGACTCCCAAGGGCTGAGTAGCTGGTCGGTTGATGTGTCAGCAATGAGAGAGATGCCAGGCTCTGTGGCTTGGTTCTGGTTGCTTTTGGTAGCTGGCACAGGCTGAATAGGTGGAGACTTTGTGCTGTGCTGGGAGACTCCCACCAGGGAGGTGTGGACTCGGTTGTGGCCAGGCTTTGCAGAGTTGCTGCTGGCCTGGGAGGCGGGTGCTTGGGAGACGGGTGCCTGGGAGGCCTGCCTTGAGGCCTGCAGCACCTGTTCAGCCTCCTGCAGCTTGCGCAGCAGGCTGTTCCAGTCCATCTCTGAGGACAGAACTATGTGGGAGCCCTTCACCTTCTTGAAGCCCAGGAAGAGACCCATGAGAGCTTCAGTGACAGGGAAGGAGATGAAGCCAAGCTGCTTATTGAGGTTGTTCTCATACTTGTACTTGAGAGTGAGCAAGGACACTGCCTGCTCCACTAAGAAGTTGAAGATCTCCTCAAAACAGGGGTTGGAGAGGTGGGACGCACCGGACTTGGGCGAGCTGGAAGAACGAGGCTTCTTTGTGTTGGAGTTCTGTGTGGCAGGCAGGCAGGGAGGAAAAAGGAGACATGTCACCTCTGGTGGTTTGCCCCTCCTGCTGCCCTATAACACCATACTGCCCAATCTCTTTGGCAGTCCTGCCAGCCCTGTCTGACACAAACCATGCTGTTCACACAAAAGGTATATGCGTCACATTTGATATTCAGTTCCACTCAATAGCCAACCCTCACTTTAAAAGCCTGGTCAGTCAAGCCTAGGGCAAGGTCACTGACCTTCTTCACTGTGTCAGCAAGCCTGAGCCTCAACAATGCCCAGCCCTGTGTTCAGAGGAAAGCATGCTGGGCCTGCATAACAGAGAGCAGGTTGGGAGACTGCTGGGCACCCACCAGAATGAGACCACCTATATCTCTATGCCCTTCCTGGGCAAACTGCCTTCAGCAGGGCTGAGAGACTTGAGCGTCCTGCAGCTGTATTAGAGATGCACACCCTAGAAGACAAGCCCCACCACTACCACCACACCCCACCCCCTGGGCAAAGACTGTTGCCCATGAATAGGAGCTTACCCATGCGGGAAGGGCTCCAAGATACACATAAAATGTTGAAAAATGTCTATGATTTTAAAAAGATAGCCTTTATTCATTCTTGATAACACCTTGAAGTAGCTAGGCCAAAAATTCTGATCTTCCAGTAGCTTTTACCTTTCCCAGGAAGTTTCCATAGTGAGTGCCAATGACAGTGGCTGCTAGCAGTGTTGGGTGAAGGAGATATTCCCCTGCAAATGTGTCCCCAACCTGCCAGCCCCTCTTCAGAGAAGGCACCTCTGGACACAGTGAAGCAGATGGGGAGAAGCTCCTTACAAAGGGGAAAAACAAGCGTGTGGGGACGAAGGAGGAGGAGTAGGGCAGGGAGAGGCAAGTGGCCACTGCACTGGACTCCTGAGACAGTCCTGTCTGGAGGCCACCTCCACCATGATCCCAGAGGTGGGCAGGGTAAGGTGCAGGCCATGCTTAGGCTGAGGCCTCTGGCTGAAGATCAGTGCCAAGGTGGTTTCTGAAAGTTGGGATCTGAGCCAGGTGCCTTGTGGAATAAGGGGTTGGGGATACTGTATTTTTCTGTGGTTGTCACCTTGAGCTTGACTCTGTTGGCCCCTTGAGCATTAGATACAGAAGAGTTCAATCCACTCCTGCTTTTTCTGTGAGGTAACATGGGGTTGGCATCTGTGGTGTGGAGAGAATCACAGGGCTCCTTCCCCTCAGTGAGTGTGGAGCCTGAAAGCCCCTGAACAAGCTGGGAGTTGGTGGGGAAAAGAGGGCAGCCATCATGGCAGCAGGCAGCCCTGAGTTTGTCTGCAGCTTGGCTGACCACGCTCTGCAGAGCAGGGAAGAGGTGGTGCTTGGCCAGGAAGTCCAGGGTACGATGGGGCTCACGGAGAACACAATAGCCAGGCAGGTCAAAGGATGCTGGCTGGCTCAGCAAGGACTTCTCCTTTTTGAACTTTCCTTTGAGGAAAATCAGCTCCCGTTCTCCAGGTCTCAATTCTGATGCTTCGGAGGCCCCTGAGCTGGAGCCCACCAACCCTGAGAACCAGGACAGGGGCTGCTGCTGGGTCCAGTGGCTACCTGTCTGGCTGCCTAGTGAGTTCCACAGCAGGGAGTCCCTCTGTGAACAGGAATGACTCCAGCCTTTCTGCAGAGAGAGGGAGAAGGAGAGGGAGAGGGAGAGGGTGGGGGGGGGAGAGAGAGAGAGAGAGAGAGATTGAGATTTAAAGAGGTATCCAGGCTGAGGGGCTCAGGCTTACCTCTGCCACACTTCCCCTAAACCGTAGTCCCAGATCTCACCCCTTTGTTCTCCAGCCGTAGCAGCCGCTTGAGGTTTTTCTCCAGCAGGAGTTTGTCTTTCATGGGTGGCAGTGAGCCTAAGCCTCGGGGACCTAGATCACAGTCCTGGCCATGGGAACCCAGATAGCCAGCTGGGAGGCTGCTATGGGAGTCAGACATGGAGCTGGTGCTGGAAGGGTAATTATTGTGGTGTCCAGTGCAGAGGCTGGGCTGAACACGGTGCCGCTTTACAGTGCTGAAGCTGGGTCGGGCACGCACCTGCCGCTTCACACATGGCACTTCTATGGAGTCCTGCACCTCCACCAGTGGTACCCCAGCCTCTGTCTTCATGGTGGCTACACGTTCGGTTGCCTCTTCCACTACTGTCTGCAAATTGTCCAGTACTTGGCCCTCTGTCAGGAAATCTAGGAAGCTGCCAAAAGGCTGAGGTCTCTTAGAGGTTTGGTAGTAGCTCTGGTGTGCTGAACTGCCATCCACCAATGGGGGGTGTGGCACACGACCCAGCTTGAAGGCTGGTCCCATTTCTGGCAACAGTGGCTTCTTGGGTGGTGGTACCTGAGCAAACAGGCTTGTTACAATGGGCACAATGCCCTGCAGGGAGGGGGTCACTGGGATTCTCCTAGGTGTGCCAATAGGATCTGGGTGGGGACTGAGTGGAAGGAATTATATATTTTTGGTGGTGGTGGTGATACTGGGGATGGAACCAAGAGTCTTGAGCATGGTAGGCAAATGTTCTACCACTGAACTACACCCCAGCCTGGAATTGCATTTAGAATTGAGTAATTCTGTAACCCCAGCATTCAGGAGGCTGAGGCAGGAGGATTGCTGCAAGTTCGAATCCAGCCTGGGTTACATAGTTCAAAGCCACCTTGAACTAAACAGTGACCCTTATCTCAAAAAAATATCAGGTAATTCTGAGTGAAGCATGATAGCACATGCCTATAATTCCAGCACTCAGGAGGCTGAGGCAGGAATATTGTTGCAAGTTCCAGGCCAACCTGGGTTATCCAGTGAATTGAAGGCCAGCCTGAACTGCATAGGATGACCTCCTCTAAAAAAAGAAACAAAGAAAAGAGAGAGACAGAGAGAGAGAGAGAAAAGAAAAAAAAACCCATAATTCTGCATTTGGACCCTGACTCTGCCACCTTCTGCTTATGTGACTGTGCCCATAATGGCCCCTCTTGATGTCCAATTTCCTCATCCAAAAAGTGGAAATCTATGTCTGCCCTGAAGTATCTGCAGCACATACATTTCATATACATATAACCTAGCCAGAGAGTATGAGAACAACTTCTTCCCTTGCACATGACATATGTGGAACCTTCCTGAGTCTCACTTCTTTTTATTTAATTAATTAATT